TCACTAAGACCAGATAATTCTTTGAATAAGAGGTCCTACCCTATAACGGTTGGACTCAAACAAGAGCTGTGAAATAGGGCTAGACCTAACCTTCTGAAATTATTTAGTCCTCACAATATGTAACTTAACGTATTCATTTACTAGTTAGTTAAAGATAACTAGAACTCCTAAAAGCTCAAAGCAAGCAACATTCGAGCATTAAGTAACCATACCAAGCATATCCTATTCGGTCCATCATATTACCGACTAATCAGTTCTAGCATATAACTCAATAAGCACATATAACAAGCACATAAGGCATCTTCCTAGATCCTTAGCCATAATCTAGCATGTAGTTCTCATACCCATACAATAGGCATATAAGGCATCATTCCTAGATCCTTAGCCCTAATCTAGCTTGCAGTTCTCATAATCATATCATATCATAACATAACATGTATGGGTATCTTGGGGAAAACTTACTTGAGCTCGGCCGGTTCCACGCATCACACACCTTGTTCTTTCTCAAAACTCTTTATTTTAAATTTTTGAAAAACTATTTTCTTGTAAAATCTTTCAAACCCTCGATTTGAGTCCAGAAACCCCCGAAGGTGTGTCCAAATCCCTCAAACCAAGGCTCTGATACCAACTTGTAACATCCCAAAAATCATGACCAAAAATTTCATTTTTAATATAACAATTCATAAGATCATTTTAAGGAAAACATCATCAAGTTATTTCATTTCATCAAATCCATAGATCATAATTCTCAAAAGCATGTCATCATCAAACAATAATTTCAGAGTACAATCCCAAGAACATCATAGTACGGAAAGTAATGGTGTGATGCGTTGCTACCGAGTCGACTCCTTTCCCTTCGAAGAAGAAGGACCTGAAACAAAAACTGAAAACCGTAAGCACAAAGCTTAGTGTTTTCCCCATCATACCTCATACCATATAACATACTGCCGGACAATTCTGGGGTGCCCGACCTACCCTGCCAGGCCATTCTGGGGTGCGCGACCTACCCTGCCAGGCCATTCTGGGGTGCCCGACCTACCCTGCCAGGCAATTCTGGGGTGCCCAACCTGCCCTCCGGTTTATCTCAACTGGCTACGGGGACTATTTCACCCCTACTACTGCCATATAATAACATAGCATAAACGTACTGCCAAGCAATTCTGGGGTGCCCGACATACCCTTCGGTCATTACGACCGTGACACGTGGACTATTCCCCCTACTACCACTATCCCATAACATCATATCATGCTAGCACATAAAAACATATCAGGTAGTAGCAAACCTAGATAATTATCACAAAGACAATCATCTAACAAACAACTTCCTACTAGTGGGCCGACATTGTGGCCGTAGACCCACTTCTACTGGAAGGTAACTCACCTTAATGTCGTGCAGTGACTGAACTACCCTCTATGTTGGGATCAACTCTCCTCAAACTCCTACACATAACAGTCTCCTTTAGTTACTCCTTCTTATTCATATCCCCTTTAAAGGTCAATCTTGGGTAATGGTCAAAGTCAAAGTCAAAGTCAATGCCCTGGTCAAATTCAACATCCTGGTTGACTTAAGTCGCCGATTTGGTCCATCAACTAGTCGAGTTCCATAATTCAGAGAATCTCGAATTCGCGATCTGACTCATCGAGTTACCCTCTAACTCGCTGAGTTTCTCCTTATGACAGAATCGGGACTTCCCATTTTAACTCGTCGAGTCCTTCCTTGGACTCGTCGAGTTCTCCTTCATATAGTCGGGACATTTTCTCACTGACTCGCCGAGTTCATCCTTGGACCCGTCGAGTTTTTGACCTTTAAATCCAAAACACGACTAATTGGCTGAGTCATCTTCTAGACTCAATAAGTTTGCTAAGTAACAGAAAAGGTTGGGGAACCACAACCCAACTCGCCGAGTCCTAAGAACGACTCGTCGAGTCGCCCATGATCCAAAACTATCCAGTCGATTTCAGTCGGGCTTAACGCATCCAAAACATAGATCTGGTCTCCTAGGGTCGATATAACACGTAAAGTTACAAACTTTATGCTCATGCATGGGCTATTTAGCTCAAAAATCCCTAAAACGTGGTTCATAGGATGCATGGGACTCCCATGGCCATAAAGTTAGCACCTTTATGTCATGGAGTCCCTCAAGGACCTTGGATCTGAAGTCAAAATCCCAAAACATGCTTGCATCCAAGAACGGTTCCAAAAATGGCTCCTTAAAGCCCTAAACTACTCCAAAAAGAGATCTAAGATGAATGGACAATGTATAAACTTTATACCTTAAATAAGATGGGAATGGAACACAACCTCTGGATCTACTTGCTTCCTCTTGAACTCCCAAGCTTTTTCTTCCTTCTCAAGCTTCAAAACCACCAAAAACACACAACAATGTCTCAAGAACACTCCAAATGGGTTAGGGTTTCGAATTAGGGTTTTCTGGACTAAGGGAGGCGATGAGGGAGGCCACAATGGGGTGTTAAGGCCTTTAAATATGGTGCAAACCCTGAAAATTAGGGTTTCACTCTGGCATACCTACTCGTCGAGTAGACGTCAAGTCCCGCGTCCAACATATCCAATTCCTACTCGACGAGTTTGGGGCCTCCAACTCGTCGAGTCCCTTAGCAAATATGAATAATTCTTAATTAGATACGTACCAGGAACCGGGCGTTACAATTCAGATATGAAGGTTGGAGACTTGGACTTAATGGATTAAGTTGAAAAGGATGCACTTTTGGTCCCATTGAGACTTAAAGACTAGATCTTGTTTGTTGGGACCATTCTAATGGATAAAGTTGGAAAACTTTATCCATTATGGAGTTATTAGGAACCATAAAAATGTGATCTTGGTCCTTCTATCCCTTCCATGCAAGAGTTGTGATGTTTTAATGGATTAATAAGTTAGTTTTTTAGATTTTGGACCATCCTTAGCCATGGAAAGTCATAAAGGTGGAAACTTTATGACTTAAGACAATATTTTGAGGCTAGCTCTTAGTTTGGGTGAAAAGTCCTTAAGGGATTAAGTGCTTAATGAAGGAGTGGGATCAGGCTGCGTACGATGGGCGTACATTGAGTACGTTGGGCGTACTCAACTACCTCAGACTTTGACTTTTGTTGACTTCCGTTGACCAATTCCCAGGTATGAGATTTATTCCTTAAGCATGTTTTTCCATTGGAACACGACGTGGTGGAAGCCTCACCACGACGTGTTGAAGGACTTTTGGGTCACATATTTTTATGGACCAACACGACGTGTTGGTGAGCAAAACTCGGCGTGTTGGCAGCTGGATGCGAAACTCGGTGTGTTGGCGGCTGGATGAGAAACCTTTTTTTTTTCAGGTTTATAAAGCTGATAATTTTGTTGCTGATGGAATAGAATTAATCAAATATTTTGAAGTTATTCTGCAATCAAACATTTATCTAAATATTGTTATCATGTGAAGTAGCTAAGGTGGACTAATGATTAGATCTTACATATGTTTAATATTTCAGGTTTTAGAGTTTTATCCTTTTACTAATATGTTCTTTAACATGCACGCACCAAATAGCATTGTACCGGTGGCTAATAGTGGTATTTGAAAGCTCTAACTAAATAACATTGGTATAGAGAATGTAGTTTTGCAACCGGGTCTGATTACAGGTGCACAATTGTAACCAGTTTTTTATAACCAACCCAAAAAAAGTTGAACCGGTTCAATTAAAATCGAACCGTTTTTATTTTATTTTTTTATTTATAAAATTGAAACTGTTTTTTTAGAGGAGGATCATATGTGAGAGCACTAATAGAGCCTGATTTTAAACCAGGTCATATACGATATATAGAGCCCAGTTCTATTTTAAAAAATCGGGTTGTATGAGGTTTATAGAAACTTATTACTCTCCAAGTAACCAAGTTGTATAATATTGACAAAACGAGACATTTATAACTTAATAAATATACATCCGTTACAAGCTTCTTGAAATATGTTCTTTCTAACAAGCTTATTTTTTTTTCCTATTGTTGATGGTTGATTTGAGGGTTGTAACAAATATTTGAGGTAAGGTCAAAGATGTTGATTTGAATTCCCTTGCATACTATCACATACTTCTTAAAGAGTCAAAGTTCATTTCTTATAAAATTTAAAAAACTATCAACAACATTTCATCAAATTTATAATTTATTGTGCTGTGTTTATTTATTTTTATTACATATCTATTATATTTAATTTTCTTATATCAATGTCATTTGCTTGTTTAATTGTGTTTTTTTTACGGTGTATTCAAATTTATATTATGTTTTACACATCACAATTATATATATATATATATATATATATATATATATATATATATATATATATATAATATATAATTTTTAAATAATCAATATAAATTTATAAACTAAAATTATATCTAATTAATTCAATAAAAATTTATAAATTTTTTATCCATAGTTTCCACGGGTTGTAACCTAATTTCTATTATACCCTTAATGATACAATTTTTTTATACCCTTAATGATACAATTTTTTTTTTATTTGAATAACTTTTTTTAAAATTTTATGAGATTTATTATAATTTTAATAAATAAGAATATTTATAAACATAGAAATAGGAAACAATTTTTTTTTTCAAAATTGATTACTTAATTTTCCTATTTTTAATAGGATTATTTTGATTATATTATTTTATATGTAGAAGTACACAACATTCTTCTTAGTATTTTGAAAATTAAAGTACACGTGGCATGTCCCTGATGGTTGGCAGGAAGCTGATATGCCGGCAGTGCATATCAAAAAAGTACGGAGTTCTCTAAACTTCCCAAGTGGCTCCTTCCAAACTCGAATTTCATTTTACGTTGACTTACTCTCTTCAAACTTTAAATCCCAACAATACCCCTAAAACATCCAGCAATACTCTCCAGCCACAAGGACCTTTACGTAACTTTACATGGCGCCGGCACCGTATCTATTTAGCCGCCGGTATCAGAGGGAATGTTTGTTTCTATTCTTTCTCTTTCTCTCAAACCATGACGATCTCCGATAACCCTCGACTGGAAAAATCCCGGACTGTGAAATCTCGATACCTTTCACCCGTCTCCGCCGCCGAACCACCACAATCTTTACCGCCGTCTCCGAATTACAACCACCCTCTCTCTCCCAATCGCCACCACAGCCAGAAACCAAAATCATCTTTAAAAAACAGTACTGGATTGCTTCGTGGAGTTTGGCCTTCTTCCACTCCTCGCTCATCAAAATCCCACAATGAAAACATATCCACCACCGCCACCGCCGCCACCACCGACACTGCCAGTGCCACCAGTACGACGCTGGCTGATTACCTTGGAGACGATCGGAAAAAAGATGGCCTTGGTCCGAAGTTTCTTAAGCAAAGAAGCTGTTCGGAGTTTAGTCGGTTTGAGAACGATCCGAAGAAACAAAACAACTTGAAGGAGAATCATAAGCCCATTTTCGGAGGTGGGTCGATGAGATACACCGGGAAGTTCAGGTTCCCCGGAAGATCATCGACTTCGTCTTCACCAACCTCATCTGATGACGGAAGTAGAGGAAAGCTCACAGGTATGTTCATCTCCTTCCGTTTTAGCGTTAATATTAATATGTTTAAAGTTTTAACTTTTAGTCATACACTCGTAGTTACATCAACATAATATTTTGATGACACGCTTTATTTTATATAGACTAGTAAACAAAGCGCGGCTCTTTTGGTGAAAATGATAAAATTTAAAAGATATGTGATAAAAGTGTAAATCACAAAGCGATCGTAATTTTTTATCAATATATGGACCATTTCTATAAATTATAGGGACCATTTATGTAAACATAATTTTAAAGCAGGGATTGCTTAAGTAAATATTAAGACGGTAGCAATCCAAGGACCAAACTGTCAACCTCCCAAACTTATTGTGGCAAAAACTACAAAACAAAGCAATCCAAGGATTAAAATTGTCAATTTCCCAAACTTGTTGTGGCCAAAACCTAAAGCATATAAAGTTTTATGGTCAAAACCAAAAACATAGGAAGTTAGTATTCATCTCCTTTAGATTTTCTATAAATTATACTATAAATTATAGGGACCATTTATGTAAACATAATTTTAAAGCAGGGATTGCTTAAGTAAATATTAAGACGGTAGCAATCCAAGGACCAAACTGTCAACCTCCCAAACTTATTGTGGCCAAAACTACAAAACAAAGCAATCCAAAGATTAAAATTGTCAATTTCCCAAACTTGTTGTGGCCAAAACCTAAAGCATGTAAAGTTTTGTAGTCAAAACCAAAAACATGGAAAGTTACTATTTATAAGCTTCTTCACATTTAATATATATATATATATATATATATATATATATATATATATATATATATATATATATATAACTAACATGATTTTTTCATACAAGCATTGCAACTGTTTATTATTGGTTTAAAAGATTCAATATTTTATTGGAAAACTATTTAATTAAGCGGTTTGGTAACATAGTTATTGAACAAATTAGTACAAAAAAGTGTTTTCGTATAAATTGAGAAAAAAAGTTTGAAACCAATGCCACACCCAAGTAACCGTTACATATTTTAGTCGGTATGATTATATATTTTGCATAAAAAACATTTTATTATATAAATTAAAAAAATGTTTAAGCTAAGTTGCATAAATTAATACACATCATGCAGAATCCTAAAGCTAACGATTCCACACTTTTTCATGATAAAATTGCTTCTAAGCCTTCATGCTTTTAAATAGAAAGAAATCGAGTAAATATGCATACTTAAACAAGGTATGTAAATTAATTAATTAAATAAATACGAAAACTATTATTATTATTATTATTATTATTATTATTATTAGTTTTAGTTTTAGTTTTTATATAAATATAATGTGGACCTCTTTTTACATTTGTATAAATTACTACTAAAGGTTTGCATTAATTACAAAAAAATAGGGGCGGTTTTAGTATGGTGCACGTAGCCGCACGGGTAACTCCTGATTTTTTCGGACACAGTGTAAAATTTTTCTATTTTTTTTTCTACTATCATGCAACAACTAACATTTCTCGTGACATCCCTACTATGAAATCCTATGTTCGCCCTTACGAATAAATAAAGAACAAAATAAATGTATAGAAGGGTTGAAGCTATTGAATTCTATATCAGCATATCAACAATGCAAGTTTAAGACCAATAGTACTAATCCATTCTACATTCTCTCCATACCAATAATATGCCACATCATTTTTCTTGTTATCTTCTCACCTATAAAATAGTCATCCTCATTTCCCTAACTTTTTTTAAAAGTTTTTTTAAGAGTAAATTACATGATTCCTCCCTCATCCAGGTGCCAAAAAGACACAATCAATCTTAATTTGAAAAATTAACTCGGACTGTTCCTTGTTTGGTTAAAAGTTGCACGCTTTTATCCCTCTAAGCATAAAAAGACAATTTTTTTCTTGATTTATTTTATATTTATTAATTTGTTTGTTATAAAAATAAATATTTATTACCTTTAGCTAATAAAATAAATAGGCCAACCCTTACGCCTCGTTCCCGAGTTTCAGCAAAGAAAAAGAAAAGAAAGTAGGAGAGAAAAGAAGAGAAAGGAAAGGAAAATAAATTTGTCTTTCGTGTTTCTGAGTCCGAGAGAAGTGAAAGGAAAGTTAAACATTTTGTTCTTTCTCTCCAAATCCGTCCAAATCGGAAGGAAAGTTAGGAGGGAAAGCGATCATTCCATTTCCTTCCACTTCCTCCCATTTCCTTCCTTTAATGAAACTCGGGAACACTAATTTTTTTTACTTTCCTCTCACTTCCATCAATTTCCTTTCTTTTCTCTCATTAAGTTGAACTCGGGAACGGGGGTTAGTCCCTAAGAACGTCGTCTCTCTCTCTCTCTCTCTCTCTCTCTCTCTCTCTCTCTCCCCTATTTCTTCTTCAATGTGTCGGTGCATCTCCGACGACTCCGGCCACATCTCCTCTTCACTAGTGTCACCGAACCAAGTCACAAGTCTATGTATGTGTACATGTGTGATATTGAGAGTGAGGGCAAGAGCGACGAAGAAATGGCACGATTAGGAGAGGCGGTCGTTGTCCCCTTCAAACTATTGTCGTCGTCCCCTACAAACCACTAACCACTGATGTCGTTCCATGTGAGCTCCAAGAAACCCCTCACTCAGGTACTACACCTCGCCGGCTTCTAGATCTACAACTCCCCAACTGGAATCCCGACGAAACCTGCTCCGCTGGTGTGTAGCGGCTGGTAGGGTTATGAGATGAAAAGAACCCGCCGGAAACCACATCTCCCCCTTTGAAATTGCCCCATCTTATCAGTGTGGAGTTTTTTACATTATAAAATTAAGATATTACCTATAAAAATGTTGTAAATTTGGATAATATAATATGCCCAGTTCTGCAAGATTGGAACCGGACAAAGGGGACACCCCTTCACCGAAAACCGATGCTCGGAGAAGTTAGATGTAGAACAATAACATCACAGCCTCGAAATGCATATCAATGGAAATAAGTACCAAAAGATCAGTGAACCACAAGGACCAAAATGTAAGTTACTCTAAAGATATATAAATTGAAGCAAATAATTGCAGATTGAGAGAGGGCAAGATAGATCAAAGAGAAAGGTCTCCAGGTCTCGACTGATATGGTTGTGGGGGAGAAAGAAGAACGGAGCACCAGTTCTTGGGTCTGGTTCGTTGTCGGAAAACCGGGCAGATGAAGGAGATGACAGTGGGAAATGATGGAGACGAAGATGTAGAGTTTTGTTTTTCAGAGAGAGAAAGAAGGCCTACGTAATTTTAAAAAAAATTATAATTAATAAAAAATAAACAATCAAAAAGAAAATAAACAATGGTAATATAGTCTTTTCATGTCTCACAATGGATAAAACGTGCATATTTAAACTAACGAAGGATGAATCGTGCAACTTTTAACCAAACAAAGGAGGGTCCGGGTTAATTTTGAAATTCGGGATTGAACGTGTTTTTAGACACTTGGACGAGAGACGATTAATGTAATTTACTTTTTTTTTTAATAAAATGTATAAAAAAATATAATTTATTATAAATAAATTCAAAATTAATAATTAATTTAATTGTTGGAAAGGAATTATTTTAATTATTTTCTATTGAGTATATTAACTAATTTTACAATTAATAAAGATAATATTGAAGGAATTCAGATCCATCACTTGTGGTTGTGGATTCATCTTTTGCCTCTGGATTCAAATATGGATATACCCGAAATGGCCCATTTTTATTTAGATATGGTTTCAAACATGCATCTAAATTGAGGCAAGAACTAGAAGAAGTAGGAGAGAGATGTGGTAAGTATCTCTTGTGCGAGGCCTCACTGCATGGGGAATTAACTTGTCGGTGTGGTGTTCCTACACCCACCAAAAATGTCATGTCAACCCATTGCACCTTATGCTAGAGTTACTCCTCGTCACGTAAGTGTTTTCTGGACTGTGATGCAGATATAATGCCTGGGAGATTATCAGTAGATGAAAACGCACTTCGTCGAAGATCATACTCCCGACCAAGATCAGATCATTCTTTCTCTGACGACTCGGAGTGTAGTGATATGGACTCTTCGTTCATCTCAAACTCTCTGACATCATACATGGCACCCACATTGAGCTCTAGAAAATCCGCAATGAAAAAGGTGATGAAAAAGGCAAATTCATTATCGAAATGGGGTTCATCGCCAAGCCGACCTGAATCACCCCCTACGCCAACAAGCACGTCATTTTCAAGCGCGAAGCCTCCAACAAGTCCCTCAAAAACAGGAAAAAAGAACTTTTTGCATATGGGTCTTGATTTGATCAAAAGTAAGAAAAACGGGCCGGGTTGTTCGTCACCAATTGGTTCGGGCATGGGAATGGTGGAGACTGTCCATCAGTTAAGAATCATGCATGGAAGTTGGATGAGGTGGAGGTATGCCAATGCTAGAGCAAATGTTGTTAACGAAACCCTAGATGATAAGGCTAAGGTACGTATGTTACAAACTTTGACATTATCAATGTCAACATATTATTATAGTGAATTTTATTTATTTAGGTGGTTTTTATTGGTAACGAGTCAAATTAATAAAACTTTGAAAATTGTAGAGAAAATTAAGTGCGTCATATGGCATAATCAAATTTAGTCATAATTAGATCTAATTGGATCGTTATTTTAAGGTAAATTGTTTGCCATAGGTACTAACAACTGAAATGTGTTAATCAAGGACAAATGTAACACGCAAAAGAATTAAATTGTATAGTATTGTCATTCAAGTTAACTTACTTATATTATATTTTTATTAAATTAATAAATAAAGTTTACAAAAAGTTTTCCATATGGTCAACATAAATTTTATCTACACTGCCCATCTTTTGAATATACTATTAATTGTCGATGTGAAGCTATTTTTAACTTATAGACAGGGCTTCAAATGAAAAGGCTATAATATAGAGATATTGAAGTTCTATATACGTTAACTGAGTTATATTCTTATTATTACTATTTATATATTCTAATTAACATGTTAGCTGTTTTGGATCTTATAATTTACGATATGATTGACCACAGAAGGATTTACTACACGCATGGGAAAACATCACGAAGTTGCAACAATCCGTGTTACAAAAGAGATTACGATTGGAGAGAGAGAAGTTAGAAATGAAGCTCAACTTCATACTTCATTCCCAAGTGAGTATTTTACGTGTTTAAGAATAAATTATGTAATAATACTATTTAACCATGCATCCTAATTACTAGTCTCATGTAATGCATCGTGATCATGTAGATGAAGATGTTGGAAGCATGGAGAGACATGGAAAGGAAACACATATCGGATGTTTCGATGACAAAAGATTGTTTAGAGGGTGTTGCATGTAAAGTACCCCTCATCGAAGGCGCTAAGGTAATTGCCCTTATATAATCATGAACCAAAAAAAACTTTCAAGAAAGAAATTTGGAATATATAAAGGAAAATTGCAAGAAATAATAACATCTTATACTTTTTATGTTAATATAGATAATATACTTTGTTTTTCACTAATAATAATAGTGTACTTACAATATTTCTTTATCCATAATATGTGGAAGCACACTTATACTTTTAAGATAGTAACATTTTGTAATCCAAAATAACAATGTACTTGCATGTCTTTACTTATAACAACATAGTTACACAACCTGTAAAGGCTATAATAGCAACATGATTTCAGTTTTTTTTACCGATTAATAGTAATATGTAACAATTAACAACTAAAATAATTTGATCATATTCATAGCATTAGTCACTATTATGGATAAAAAGTATAAATATGTTTCTATAATGGATAAGAAAAATAAAAGTATACTGCTGTTATAGGTAGAAGAGTGTGTTGGTATTATGGGTAAAAAATATGTTACTATTATAGGTAAAAAAGAAAGTACAATGCCTATATTAGAATCGAGGTAAACTATTATGATACTCTCCCCAAGTGACGTTATATTAAACAGTATATCACATTCAACGCAATGATAAATGTTACTTACTTGAAATACTCACAGAAAAGTTTCTTGTAGTAAGTTTTGAATTTGAATAGCTAGAATTTTGATGACAAAATATTGGATTAATTTATCATCTGTTTCTGTGTGTAGATGGATCCTCAAATATCTTCAATTTCACTTAGACATGCAACAGATTTGGTTGCCTCAGTCATGTCTATGATGTCATTTCTAGATCCCACGGTATCATATGTACACTTTTATATATAAGAACAAAAAATATCAAATTTAGTTTCGTGAGTTACTTATTAAGAACACTGTTACACTTTTATAGGCTCATGAGACTGTTTCAACGTTTAAGGAGCTTGCAAAGGTTGCAAGCCAGGAGAAACTGTTGCTTGAAGAGTGCTTTGAACATTTCAGAGTAATTTCCACTTTAGAGGTAATCACATATAACCGAATTTCGTTGTTTTTAACATGAATTATTATAGTCAATCGATATTATTCTCAATTGAAACATTTTATTACAGAGTTTTGATAAAGCATGTGCGTTGTTCTAGAATAGGGTACTTTTCTAACAAACTTAAAAAGTTAACAACATTTTTAATTATTGAGTCCCTAGGTAACGTCTCATCTTCAAACTTGGACATTAACTTCCAAGCATTGATGATTAAGATTTACTTCCCCATATTGGGCCATGGGAATGGTTTTGCTGTAGAGGCCAAGCTAAAAGTATTCGTGTTCTTAATTTGTTATCATTTATTTTGATCGTTTATCTCAATTTATTATGTTCTACAATAAGTTCAATAGTCGTATCCTTATTCTATTATTAAAATTTAATCTACAAGTTAGCATATAATACATAGTTTGTTTATTGTGCATGACAGATTGAAGAGAGGAGTCTAAGGTGTAACGTTATCGAAGTTGCTTCATTCGGTGATCAACACTGACTATGAGAATGGCAACCACACCAACACAATTATATCCATGCATATATAGACGGAAAATACATATGATAATCCATAAAATTGTAGTAAAATGTTTTTTTTCTTTGAGATATATATAGGATAATTGATGTTTGTTGGTAGTTATTAACTTTTGTAATCTTCCCATGAAGTATAAAATATAAAATTCATTACTCATAATGTTAGCGAGATTTTATTTTCTATGAAAATCCCAAGTCCTACGAGAGCTTAGTGGTTGAGTTTAATTTCATAAAAAATATTATCATTGACATGTCCAAAATATTGATAGTATCAAGCGATTTACAATCCATATAATAGGCCTTAGGTTGTGAGGTATACCAACAATAAGGGTAGAAATCTATGGCATTACACGTCTAAAATACACGACACACAACAAAACCGGGACAAAATTAAATTTCGAATTTGTGTTCGTGTTAGGTGTAAATAAAATGATGTCGTGCGTTGTTAAAATTCGGCATGATATTAAAATGTATTTGTCATGATCTGTATGATTTACTAGGAATCAAATGAACTAAATATTTGTTTTAATTTATTCTTTTCATATTGTCATGTTGGTTGTTTTTATCGTGTTTTAATCGGTTGTTTCCATGTTAGTAAAGCAAAACACGACATTGGTTAATGTTGTGTTCGTGTTATATAAAAAATTATCATGTCGTGTCGTGTCAGCTAAAACAATGACATGTTTGTCCAATTTTTTACCATTAACCACCAACGCCTCTTGCAGCCACACTCTGCCTCTTTAATAACGTGTTCACACCATGCCATAGGGTGTTGGTTGTCAAAGAACATAAGGAAGAATGAAGAAAAATGAAGCAATAATTGAGAGAGAGAGAGAGAGGTTGTGTGGTTTTCCTTGGCACACACCACATTCCTCCACACCAACCTCCACCATGCCATAAAAGGGGGGGGGGGGGGGGGTCGTGTTAGTCGGCACCAGATTAGCACCAGATACTAAACCATGTTGGTACACTGCATAACCTTAGGATAAGTTAGGTGTGGGTCGCCTAGATGGTATAACTAACAATTTTAGTGTTAGCGAGAGTAAAAACTCTATAGTTAGCCATGTTTCTCTTAAGCAAATTTTTGCATCATGTAAATTTTATATATATATATATATATATATATATATATATATATATATATACACTAGGTGTGAGACCCGTGTATTACACGGGTTGATTAAAAAAGTTAAATATAAGGTGTAGACATTAAGTATTTTCTAAAGTAAAATTTTAGAATAAATATAAATGAAATGATGAATAAGTTATTCAATCTATACTAATAAAAAATTATTATCATGTTTTAAATAATCATGTTGAATATGAATGTGTAAAAATTAAGTATTTTTTGAAGTAAAACTTTCGAAATAAAAACAATAAATAGAATAAACCACAATGACCATTTATGTAATTTGTCTTAATTAATCTATACTAATAAAACTAATTAATATAAATTCATAGATGGAATTCATTAATATATTAATAGAAATAAGAACTCACAAATGGAAGGTTTACTATATACATTAATTCACATTAATTATTATGAGGTGACATTTAATAGGTGGAAGTTGAATAAAAATGAAAAAAATACAAAAATGACAAGTGGAATAAAAATAATTTTAAAATTCTAAGAAAATGACATGTGTCAAATTTAATAAGAAGTTGACATTTGGCAAAATTATCTTTATTTATTAGGGTATATATATATATATATATATAATATATATATATATATATATATATATATATATGATTCGGTTCAGGTGAGGACTCTAAAAATTGTGAGGACTGCGAGGACTAACTGTGACCAATCGAGCTCATTAAGGGTATTTAGGTCCAATAACAAATTAAATGAGCTAAAATAAAATTTAAAAGAATCCTGGTGGGCTAGACTAATCAAAATTGGGCTGAAGCAATTTTATTCCGACGTCGTTCACGACTTCTCTGTGTTCGTCGTTGACTTCTCCGATCATCACACAAGTACGAAGAATAACACCAAAATCGAGTTTGTTTCTACTAAAATCTTCAATATTCGATTCAGCTCATACGAAAATAAGTTAGATTCGGATAAAAAACTTATCTTTTACTATTAATCATAAATTTATGTTTCAAAAAACGTAAAATTTGCGTCAATCATCAATAAAATTAGAAGAAAACTGAAACAAATTGATATTTGCTTCGATCATTAGTAAAATTGAAATTTTTTTACAATTTTGATTCAAATAACTCAAAATTTAGGTTAGATTAGAACTCAAAAAGGATACTTTACTGTCAATTGTCATGCTCTATATCAAATCACGAAAAATCAGTTACAGTTTTAATGAAATCGTTTACGAAATTGACATGTTTAACTCTAATTTATGTTCAAAACTTCGATTTGAATCTATATTCATCATTATTACGATTGAATAAACATGATTTATAACAAAATTTGTTCATATACGGCTCTGTTTTAGGATTAGGTTAAAAATCAAAATTTTTTCATAATAAACTTTAAAATCATCGAAACTAGTGTAGGAAAAACATTTGTTTTCAATTTTTTATCGATAATATGTTGATTGACATCAAAAATTGACTAATACTAGACGCTAATCAAAAATCAACAATGTGATATATAAGAAACATATTAATATCAGTTTCTATGTTAATATTTAGGTCAAAAACATAATATAATTGTTGATTTTTTAACTAAAACATAAATTATAGATCAATATTCAGTGAATACAGAATCTACAATGCATATTGATGATGTAGAAAGTGGAAACAAGAAAACAACATATTCAGAAAGTAATGATCAAGGTAATTTTATTATTAAAAATATTGTTTTTTTGGTACATCATATATTATGATACAATGTTTAATGATTAAGGTAATTTTATTATTAAAAATATTTTTTTTGGTACATCATATATTATGATACAATGTTTTTTTAAACAGAAAACAATGGTTCTATGACAACAAATATTGGATCTTCATAAGGAAATGTTGCATCTTCATCATCTTCTAAACATGATCCAATTGTGAGCATAATTGATGGAACAACTTACTGGACTCTAGATGTAGATATCAGACCTTATAAGGGACAAATATTTCCAACATTTGAAGACGGTTTAACATTTTATAAAAAGTGGTTTTGAAACAAGAATAGCATCTACAAAGACAATAAGGTTATGGAAGAAGATACATGGTATGCAATAAGCAATGATCCAAAAAGAAGCTGCATATGATACTCTAAAAGATCCAAACAACAAAAAAACACAGACGACCTTCTATGAGAGTAAAGTGTGAAGCATATGTGAGAATGAAGGTCAATAAGGATAAAGTATGGCCGATATATAAGCTTAAAGAAGAACACACACACACACACGCACACATATTTGTTCATGAAGAAGATAAAAGTTTTCTAAATTCTAAAACTAGACTCACACTTTCACAAAAGAAAATGATATATGATATGTCAAATGTGAACATGGGACCAAGTACTCCATATAAATACGTGAAAGAATCCATGGCTGGTTTTGAGAATACCGAAGCTACAAGAACAAATACAAAAATTTTCAAAAGGTATTAGATTGAATTTATTGGAGAAAGAGATGCAGATTTTGTGATAAACAAGTTCATGAAGAAAAAAGATTATTTGCAAGATTTTTCGTTTGACTTTAGTGGTGGAAGTAATCAAGAATTGATTGGATTGTTTTGGGCGAATGAAGAAGCAAAACGAAACTATTTTTCCATTGGAGATGTTATTGCTTTTGATGCAACTTACCGAACAAACAAGTAAGTGACTTATATTTTTGAATTATTATATTTACAAATATTAGAATAGTGAATCATTATTTTTAATTTGAGCTATTTTGTATCATTAATTTTTGAATCAATAGTAAAATAAGAATTATATTTTTAAATTTCTACAAAAAATAATAATAATAAGAATCATATTATTTTTGAATCTAAATTATAAAATAAAAGATTCAAAAAGTAAGTGAATCCGTAATGATTATCATTAATTAAGGCAAATTTAAATTATTAGTATGTGAATCATTAAATTATGTTTTTGAATCATTGTAACTAGGGAAGAACCCCGCAAAAGCGGGGATGGATACGCCAAAGAAATGGACAGAATGGAAAGATTTTATTGAGTTACATTGAACCGATCCACCCCCAAGAGTTTCATGTGCAAATTGCAACAATATCAATAAGTTGCTGGTTTTTGAACAAATAACGAACAATTTACCCTTTTATTCATACCAACCTCTGTAACAATAAAATCTATTATCACATTTTTAATGACCAACAAAGCGATTCATTACCACGTTTAATCACAACCAATGCAGTTTCCATGCTTCCAGAATCTCTTTCCCTGCCATCTATTAAAACACTATAACTTGCATCAGGCCTAAGGACAAAAGTGTAAAAATGTGTTAACTTGTCTGTTTTACATTGTAAATCCTTCTTGATTGGATAATTTTGCCCTTGGTAGGAAACAATAACGTCAAGCTTCTTTGTTTGTGTACCACATAAATCTGGTCCAAACATTACACTTCAAAAAAAGAAACAAAACAGAAGTTAATACATTGTAACATAACACCACTAATAGTAATAATATGGAGACTTTATAATGTTAAGCAATTGAAAGAACTTACAAATAAAAAAAGGTAAAAAGATTCATATTGGATATATATAAAAGATGTGAAAAGACAAACCTGTAAGAAAATCGGAATAAAATTGCCTTGGAAATTCTGAGAATTGTGTATACACTTTCAAATCAAAGTATTGGGTGGTACTCCCTAATCTTTGATTGGATAAGACTCCAAAGAGAAAAGAATAGAGAATGAGATATATGAATTTCGTAAGTACCAGGAAAAACTGACCAAAATTGGTTAAATACCTTCTTTGTCTGAAAGCTTTCATAAAACAGTTTGGCAACAGTCAAAAAACTGTCATAAATCCGGGTTTTCTATAAGG